TCTAGCATTTGCAATACAAAAAGCTTCCAATGTCCACTTAGTATAGCAAAAATCTCCTTTTTGTCTCAGATATGAGTCACTTCTCTGGTTTGCCACAAGAGTCAAAACAATTGGAAGCAAAAATGACCACTGCAGTAAACAAGATAGTTATATGTGAACAAAGTTTGAGTTGAATACCATCATTTAGTTCATAGATAGATTGTTTGAATGCTCACCAGCTGAGCTTGTCCAGGTTCAAAACAGATGGCGAGCACATAGGCTATTCCAGTGGCAGCATACACAAGACAAAGCAGGACCAGATAGTTATCCTGAATTGTGGATCTTGGATTGTTGAAGAAATAGAACATTGACAGATAATCTGCTGGCTTTACAATGGTATTGAAATAGTCAACCGTGTCCTTTGCCATGAAAAAAACCAAGCTGGTCATGGTAGAAGCGTTTCTCTCCAATAGTGTAATTTTATCCCTTACGCGATGACTGGGGCAATGACGGATGAAAGACTTGATTGGGAATTGATGAGAGCAAACAAAAGCGACTGAAGCTAGTGGGTATCGAACATGTTCCTCTAGCTTCACACATCAGGAACCAATATGAATAATTATAAACAAAGCAACAAAAAATGAGGAAAGACAAATTTTACAGATGAACTTCGCTGTAATCAGAGATAGGGTAAATATTCTCACCTTCTATAGATATGATGAAGAAAAAGAAAAGGGGAGATGTTCTTAACCTGGATGGGCTAGACCAGATGCTGGACGGTTCCGCAGCAAGACGATGACTTCTTTGATGTTTGAGTAAACCATATGTTCTGATTTTAGATGAGTAAAGCAGACGATTGAGAGCAGCTGAGGTGTGAGGTCATTGAGGAGAAAAAACGAAAGGCCTCTGTATATCCAGGTTGAGAAAACGGAGGGGGTAAACTGCGCTTAATATTTCGGGACTGTAGAAACGGAAATAGGCCAACTAACTCGCTTAGAGCTTTTATATATATAGTAAGAAATAAGAATATGTTAGCATAGAATCCCAAAAGTAAGAAAGTGGACCGAAAATTGAAAAATCAAAATAAAAATGAAGCAGAGTACGAGTGTTCAGAAAATAGAGGAGAAAAGAAGAGAAGAGGAGAAAAGAAGAGAAGAAGAAGAAGAAGAAGAAGAAGAAGAAGAAGAAGAAGAAGAAGAAGAAGAAGAAGAAGAAGAAGAAGAAGAAGAAGAAGAAGAAGAAGAAGAAGAAGAAGAAGAAGAAGAAGAAGAAGAAGAAGAAGAAGAAGAAGAAGAAGAAGAAGAAGAAGAAGAAGAAGAAGAAGAAGAAGAAGAAGAAGAAGAAGAAGAAGCTTGAGATCAAGAACTTACCTGGGAAAACTGCACCAGGGCTTGAAATCGCAGCAGGGCTCGCAAGTGACGAACCGGAAGAAGAGAGGCGCAGGGCAAATTTGGCATTTCGCTGTTATTTTAGTCCTACGCTACTTCAGATAAAACTAGTAGTCCTATAATGGAATTTTTCATAAATTTTAGTCCTATTTAGGTAAATCTCTCTAAATTTAATTGATACTAACATGTCAAAATGTAAAGTGATATTATTTTATCATAAACTTTTATGATACATCAGTGTCATAAATAAGTGACACTTTACCGATGACGCTAAGTTGAGTTTCACAATTCTCGAACTTCTATGACACTTTTCTAGTGTCAGTAAAATTTTCTGTGACACTTATTTAATGTCACTACAGACCAGTTTTCTAGTAGTGATAATAAAGGCTACACTGAGATGAGACTAAAAGCTGGAAACAGGATTAATAGCGGGCCAACTTGCTAACCCTGCAATTTCGTAGACTCCATTCACAACAACATTGTACCTGCTACTAAAAGGAAATGAAAGAAACATAAAAGAGTCTTGAGACGATAAGTAAGCATAAAAAGAACATAGTCATGTTTTTCCAACCACTGGCAAGGAAACAGCGGTTTGACCAGCCCCCACCAAAAGTTTCTCCTGCATATCCCCAAAGTCCCAGGTTACTGGTGGTGCTTCCTTGACAGCACCGTCACTTGCAAGTTTTTTGGATTTGCTTCATCCACATCCATATTTTCTTGTGCCCCATCACCAGCTCAATGACCTTGCGCTTCCTTGGTTCTTTCTGGGTAGTAGCCACTTCCTTACCCTTTGATAGTAGCCTTTCCACCACATAGCTTTCCTTCTCACTTATCGTTTTGTCGGAGACTACTCCCTCATCCCTTTTGTCCCCTGGCCTGTTATTGCTAAGAATCAACCACCCATTGCCCGGGTGCGAGCCACCCGCCTCATATCAGCCCGTGACCATGACCTGTAAGGCTTCTCACTAATCCATGAGCCGTTGTGTGGATTATAGATAGAAACAGTCAGCATGACCAAGAACCTCACACAGGAAACAAAAACTTGGGAGTCTCACATAACGGAAGTCTGTCCATATCGAGCTAGGGGTGGAATGGGCCGGACCGAATCGGCCCGTGACCTGGGCTGGCTCGCTAATGTGCGGGCCTAGACCGGACCGGGACCGGATGTCCGGTTCCGGGATTTATCCCCGGTTGCCCAGGCCTGGCGGGCCGGGCTCGGGCCTTGTTTTTCTTGAACCGGCCCGGGCGGTCCAGGCCGGGCCCGAGTCTTCTTTTTTTCATTTTTTTTTCTTTTCCTAGGGTAGGGCTAGGTGTTTTGGGGAGGTTTGAGGGGTTGGGGTGGGGGGTCGGGGGTTAATTAGAAAGTAAAAAAAAAAATAAACATCGGATCGGCCCGGCCCGGTTTGGCCTGAACCCGGTATCAACCTTGGTCGGTTCCGGGTCCACCCCTATATCTAGCTATCACCCTCATGTCGGATCGACCTGCAAGCGCCTAGTCAAAGTCATAGTAATATTGATAGTGACTCTAATACGCAGATTCAACATTTGCTTTCTTCCAAGAGAGCCCTCATCCACTTGCACAAATGATTCAATTTTGTTGACTATTCCACGAGCTGCCTTTACCGTCATGTAGCTTGACTGTAAGTTGTGTACTTCAACCCAAAAATCCGCATGGTACAGCGGAATTTCAAGGGGTTTATCAGTACGCCTCACACGCTTAATGACCACAAGATTTTGTTCAAAGGATCGGACCAAGGCCCTTCGTCAATGACTCTGCTCAGATCACCTTCATGATAGAATTGTAGTAGGAATTTAGAATTCTTAATCTCATCAAGTGAAACTCTCTTAATTGGTTATGAGACCATGGCCATTGTTTGGAGGAGAGAAACTGCACGAATGAGTTTGCCCGAAACCACTCTTGCCACATGCAGCCGATAGGCAATCTCCATAATAGGTAAAACCCAAAAACAACAAACACAAAACCAGGGACCCGACTCGAACTGTTACACCCAGAGCACAACGAAATTGAAAAAATCAAAACCCAACTTCAAACCAGTGCAGCCAGCGGCGAGAAAACACTGCCCCAACCGTTGGTCAGGAATAGAAACAATAACACAAAGCTTTGGCCAAACGAAAGCCGGAACGAAATGCGATACACACGGTCGGAGCAAGAACACAAACGATCGAAGCAAAAGACGAAGAAACAGTAAACTTGGCAGCAGAGAAATAATCACCGAACCATCCTACGAGAGCAGTCATAGTCGCCATTCTAGACCGCTCTTCAGAAGGCGCACAAAATTGTGGCCCTAGATCGGCCCATATAAAAGTGGACCTGGTCCATAGTACCTGACCGATCGAGAACATAATCGTCCAGTTCTCGGAACCGAACGAGACCCGTTATTCCTGATTTGGGTCGACAATCGGCACCCGTTTTAGTTAGTGTTTTTGGGGACCGCAACCGGGATTGGACCGGGACCAGCTTGGGGATGGAAGGTGGCCCAAAATCGGTATACCTGATGCTGGTCTCAGATCCACACACCCACCCCCAGGACCAACGATACGAGATCGAAAGCATACCAGATCCTTGCCTAGTCATGTCTATCTCACAACACATTGTCGATACATTCTTATGGATTTATTGGACCATTGAAATTTAGATTCTGTCTTCAAAAGGGTCCACTTCTTGCAAAAAAAGAGGAAGAAATACTCATCTACAATCGCTGGGCCATACCAAAGGTCGATAGTGTATGGTATCGAACTAAGAGGTCTCGGTTTTTAGTACATCAGTTCGCCTTGCATATTCGAACTAAGAAGTACGTACTGTCTATGGAAGGGCTGGACTTCCATGAGTGAAAGACTCTTGTTTGATAGAACATGGCATTTTCGCCTTTCTCCATTCCAATTTAAAAAATACACAAATCATTCTTCTTTAAAGTATGATTAATATATTATATTTAAGGGGGGTTTGACTTTGCACCCCACTATTTGTGTGATATTGGACTTTGCATCCAATTTTGAAAAAAAACTTTGATTTTGCACTCCAACACATAACATTTTTTGAAGAATGTTTTTGAATGGAGTGCAAAGTCAACAGTTTTTTATGTGGGATGGGGTGCAAAGTCCAATATTACCCAAAAATGGGGTGCAAAGTCAAATTCTTGCGAAATTTATTTATTATCTATTACTCTGTATATAAAAGAAAAAATAAATAATAAATATTGTTCTCTCTGTAATGTTTCCTCCTGTGGTGTATCTTTTATCCAAGAAAGGTGATGATGTGCTTTGGAGGAAGCAATCAAAGAGGTGGAAATGAAGGTTACATGCATGAGCTCTTGACTATATAAAATTATTGAACTATTTTGAGTGAACATTTTAATGTCTTCCAATAACACATATGGAAAATAAGTATTTAAATATGAAATAAGTGTAATAACTTATTCAAAATAAATATTTCTTATATAACTTTATATGTAGTATAATCCTGTATAGTTTAATCGACACGTAAAATAGTAATATAAAGACTATGTTATTGATATTCGTGTAGATGAGCGAATAATAATAAGAATGATAAATTGGCTACTTTAGAAAGAAAGTGACAAACTTCTCAAAAAATTAAAAATAAAGTTGACAAAATTTTGAGAGACAAAAGTAATATTATTATTATTTTTTGAACTACTAAAAAGTCCTTACATTTGTAGAAGTTGATAATTGTAAAATATACGTACTAGATCTCTTATTTGTGTTGATATTTTTAACAAAGAAGGCTTAATTAGAATATTAGAAACTCGCAGAGTAGCAAGAAGATAAGCCCTCCCATTTCGGTCACCTGCCATAGGATTAGACATAGAACTGTTTGTGTTACAAACACAACAATTCGCTAACCACTTAGTGGGCAACTTGAAGCCTATTGTGACCAAAGCAGAAAGATTTCCCCACAGAAGACCCACACAACGGATGCTTCAGCTAAAAGTCCAAATGAAAAATGACCTAGAGTCCTAACTGAAAAGTCAAAAACCAACAAAACCCAAAGCAAAATTACTAGTTTGAAAATCGAACTTAAAGCAGAAAACTAAGCCTGAGAGCTTGATCCATCCCTCTTCAACTTGTCGGGCGAGCCCGTTGTCCAGATCTCACCCCCACTCCATGTTTTTCGCCACTGTTTTCAACCTCCATCATTGTATATGCCTCTCTTGACCGCTCCAACAGTGTCGCTTCTGCTCAGCTACTTGCACTTTTTTCTCATGATGTACTCGATCTAACGCCTCACCTGCAAAAACATCAGTTCCCTAGCTCATGGACACGATCTCATTTTCTCGAGTAAATCCCTCAACACCCCCATTGATATCAGTTCCCTGTTACTTTGGATTCGCCACCACCAGCCATATATTTCCTCCACTATTATTGTTGAACCCGCTACATGCCTGCAACCCTGGACCATATTCCTTCAATTGTGGTGAACTTGGAATACCCAAAACCTGAGGACAAAACTTATCACCATGACCAATAAGCCCACAAGTGTTTTGTTGGGGATTTTTTCATATTTCAAGTTTACACATGATCAATCCCCATTTGACTTTTGAACATTCAAGTATTTCCGAAGTTGTTGCCTTACATAAAGACAAACCCTGCTCCTCAAATAAGCCCTCCATTTCCTCTGAAACTTGTGATCATAAAGCTTAAAGAACTTCCAAGTTTATTACCAACCATTTGAGCAACCCTTAAAGTCAAATACCCAACTCGTAAGTTATGCACTTGAATCTAAAACTCCGAAAAATATAAAGTAACTTGTAAAGGCAGATCATTAGGCGTTAATTCATGAATCACAATAAGATTTTGATCGTAAAGCCACAGACCATACTCTAAAACACGTCTCATATCAATCTCATGATAAAAAGAAAACAAATACATCTTATCACTAATATCCTTGCTCGAAATACCCCTGCTAGGACTCCAAATTGAGGCCATTGTGTCTCTGAACAACAAGAATTTGATTGCCTTATCGGATAGAACCATCCCCACCAAGGACCACTCTGACATCCCTCCTTCCCAGTCTTCATTCTCGTTGAAATCAGGCAATAGCATGTCTACCTCATCTCCATCCTTCTCCTCCAATTGCAATCTTCCATACCGATCGGCCAAACCTTTTTGGGCATCCATAGCATCTAAAACAGAGAATTACCGACCGAAAACCCATTGTCAAAGCTATTCAACGAAACGCAAAAGGAATGCAGCGAACGAAAACAATCAAATACTCCGAACTAAGGCAAACCGCAAAGCAGCGCCATCCCAACTCAAACCTTCGATGACAGTGAACAAATCAAAATAAAACGGAAAGTTACAAAATCGAACACCAACTAACACTCAAGCACAGATGGCTACTGCCATACTGATATGTTGCGAGGGGGAATGCGATAATCCGCACGTCTTAAAATGGAAACCCTAAAACCCTACGTCATGAGGGAACCAGATTGCACTTTTTTAAAAAAAATTGATAACATCTCTTATTTGTGTTGATATTATTGATGTTGTGGTTGAAATGACTGAATTGTATTATACTCCGTATATATGACTTAATCTATTGGATTAAACAATAAGTATATATTTGGGGTTGTTTTACTTAGAAATATATTTTAAATATAGGAGTAAATGACTACATGATGAATACAAATTAAACTGAATGAAAAGCTATATGAAAAAATTAAAATGATAATCTTCAATCAATTCAAAGGGAAAAATAAAGACAAGATTAAGAATAAATTCTACTTTTGATCCTACGAGTATTGCACCAATTCCACAATTAATCCATGTCTTTGACTTTAACTACTTCTGCTACATGACTATTGTTTTCACCTATATATAGTCCTTTTCTAGTAGTTAAAATGCCAGGAGATGGATAAAAAATGGTCAATAAAACAATAGTTAAGTATCAAAAATGGATAAAGTAAAAGATGTTGACTAAATTAGGAATTGACATAAAACTTGTGAGACTAAAAGTAGAATTAATTTGACATGATTATTTATTTTGACTACTATGTGAAATCTAAAATTTGGCAAATTATACCGAGGTACTGGCATACCATGGGCATGGTACACTACTAAAAAAAAAATCGGTATCGGCAGGGATTTTGGCTCGGATAAATACCCTGCCAAATTTGGCTTGACATTTGGCTCGGATAAATACCCTGCCAAATTTGGCTTGACATTTGGCTCGGATAACTAATACTCCCTCCGTCCCGCTAGAAGGTTCCCACTTTCCTTTTTTGGACGTCCCGTTAGAAGGTTCTCATTTCCATTTTAGGAAACAATTAACAATCTTAAGTGACAAATTAATCATTGAATATTAAAAATAATACATTTATAACATTACAGTTATCAATACTAACTACATTATATTATATACATATTAAAATTATTTTTCAAAATATACTCGAAGTACTTTATTTAATTATTGTCTAAATAACCGTGCCATTTTGCTATGGGAATCTTCCAACGGGACGGAGGAAGTACATATAAACCGTATCCAGTTTGGAATGGATGTATCTGTGCCAACAGTTTGGCACGGAACATCGGATCCAAAACATGATCCAAAACCGTAAAAAAACAGAAATTTTGGCTTCTCGACAATTTGATCCAAATGTCGTTCCAAATTGGCACGGATACGAATCTGATCCAACATCGTTTTGTACTTTCACTGTTTGACTCAAATATATCCGAGCCAAAACTATCCCAACCTAACTTCGTGCCAACTGGGACGACCATTTCCGTGCCAACATGAACATGCTGCATTGATGAAGATCCGTGTCAATATCCGAGGCAAAAGAGTTGTACAAAAATCCGTGCCAAAGTTTTCAATACAATTCTATTTTTTTTGCTTTTGGCTCAAACGGGTTGTCCGTGCCAAAAGATAACCGTTACGATATATCCGTGTCAAATTCCGAGCGAAAAGGTAACCGTTGTGTATTCCGGTGAAGATTTTCAAACGGTTCGATCGACAGATTTTTCCGTGCCAAAATCCGTGCCAAAATAGATCCGTTTTGTATCCAATTATATTTTCCGTACCAAAATCCAAGCCAAATTACACCATAAACCCTTGCACATTGCTAAGCAAAAAATACATCTTCTTTTATGTATACATCTACACATGAGCTATTCTTAGTGGTGAGTTTTGGAAACAAAGGAATGTGGTCTCATTATGTGTTAGCTACGTGGAATATTTATATTTGGATTTCTTAAAAGAATTATGTTCCGGATATAAGGTATGTAATTTTATTCATTTTATTAATCAATTTCAATAGATCAATATATATATTTCATGTCTTGAATTATAATTATTGTCATTATTTGCCTTGTACAGTTGTACCAATAAAATTGGTGTGATGAGTTTTAAAATTTTACTTACTAGCATGTACTTTTAATAAGAATAAATAAATATTTATTAATTTATTTTACATATTCAAGACCAATGAATAGAGAAAGTAGAAGTTGGATGTATAGGCGACATAAAGAAAATGGTAGAGGATTGACTAAAGAGTTTACTGATGGAGTTGCTGAATTTATTAGTTTTGCACCAAGGCAAACACAATACACGGATGGAAATAAAATAAGATGTCCGTGTACAAAGTGTAAAAATGTCAAGTTTCTTGATCCTGATACCGTGGAGTGTGATTTATATACACACGGTTTTATTGATAACTATTACAATTGGATTTCTCAAGGAGAACCGATTGATACATGTCTTTTGCCAATTTTTGAGGGATTTGTATGCTAATTTCTAGACGCAAAATTCTAGACAAACGCCGTGCCAAGTGTTGACACGGATCCTATAATCCGTGCCAACACGTTTGGATCGACCCAAGTGGCACGAAAAATATATCCGAGCCAAAACCGAGCCAAGAGCGATAGTCTTAGAATTTTAAAGGGTTATCCGAGCCAAAATCCGTGCCTATACCGAGGTTTTTTAGTAGTGATATGCTTGTACCACATACGACACCGTATTTCTTTCTGTTAAGAGCACTACGTATGTTTTTTTGTTCTTTTCCCAAATTCCCTCAAATCCACTCACTTTCTTTTCTCTCAAGTCATCCACAATGCTCCAGGAATGTTATTTCTTTCACTTTGCTTTTCTTTTATTTTCTTCAATTCTTTTCACACCTCCATCAAAATTCTAAAAAATTAAATTGTCATTTTACTTATCTTTATTTTTAACTAATTTACTTATAACTGATCAATTAACTTCTTTTAAAAAAAATATTACAACATTTTATTAATCCACATAAAATAAGTACAATGCATTAATAATCATACACTACTTTTACCAAAAAATAAATAAATAATCATAGACTACTTTTTTTACCTTTTCCTCCAATTGAAATTACTACCGAATTTATAATTTTTGAGAGGTTTTTAAGACATTGAGTTTGTTTATTTTGATTCTTGAAGTTACATTTGATAATATATCATGAAATGACATCTTCTTCTGTCCAAGTTACATCTTAATGTATGTGAGTTACATCTTTATATACGCGAGTTACATCTTAATGTATGTGAGTTACACCACGGAATAAACTTTTGATATATCATTTTTATTGCCCTAATATTAAAAATAAAACATATTCACTATTTATAAAAAAAGTAATTAAGCTATTAGGATCAATTTTTCATTGTTTACATTGAAATCAATGTTTATAATATCTCAAACACACAAAAAAATCATTGTTCAATTTTCCAGCAAATTACATTCTGTATACACATAAGTTACATTTGACATCAACGCGAGTTACATTTGTAATAACACGAGTTACATTAAGAAATCAACCCTGCTATTGAAACAAAAAAAAATGATCTTTTCTAAAAAAAATTATGGCCATGATATTAAAAACAAAATATATTCCCATTTTACCTAAAGCAATTGTGTAATTAGAGTCTTACTTTTCATTGTTTACATTGAAATCAATATTTTATTTCTTATACTATATATGTATTTGACAAGTTACATTTCGAACGGACTTGAGTTACATTTATCAATAACGCGAGTTACATATCTTTACACGTGAGTTACATCATTCATGTTACTGGGCCAAAAAGAAGGAAAAAATAGTTACTGTACACATGTGTACTGTTCACGCGTGTACTGTTCACACGATTTTTCTTTTAAAATTGTTTAAAACTATGCCGTTTTTTGAGTGGAACATGATATTCAAGGTGGGCCGGTTTGCACCGTATACGAACTGCTAAAATTTAGTGTTTGGGAGACACTGGCTGACATGTCAAAAGGGGTTAGCAAATGAGGGTGACCAAAATTAGTCTCATAATTTTGTTTGTGAGTCTAAGATCACAATCCTAGATGTCATTTTTATCAAGTCGCAACTCCCAAGAAAGCCCACGCTCCTAGGTGTACACCAAATGTCCTAGGCAGGGGTACGTAGCTTAGCAAAGGCCCCATTTTTACCGGTTCGTATATGGTGATTAGGGTGTATGTATATCAGGTCCAGAAGACATTCCAACAATGAATACAAGCCAAAAAAAATATCGGTTGCATTTTTGTAATTGATAAGTCCATTTTTGTACTTATTTTTCTTATCAATTTTAAGCGATTTTGGATTGGAAAATAGAAAAACAAGGCATGTTTTATATATTTTGGTTCAACTTTCATTAAATTTAGGTAAAACTCACGTCCATGATATGTTTGACGAAATTTCAGGTCAATTAAGCACAAAATGCGTCAATTTGAGTGAAAAATGATATCATACCGAAAGAAGCAAGCAGAATTTCAAAGTGGTCAAAAAGGGAAAGTTGAAGAGCACAAAATACAGAACAAGATGGTCAAATAAACTCATAGGCGGCCTGGCAGGTGGCCAAAAAATGGAGGCCTGCGCGGCCGTCTGCCGTTTTTTTTTGAAAAATCAATTTTTTTGGAAATTTGACCAAACCGGAGAAAAACGGAAGGCGGCCGACACTGGACGGAAGGCGGCCGCCTTCGATGACCGCTTGCGGCACAAGACGACGAAACGAACAACCGGTCGGTGCGATGTGACGGCAGGCGGCCGGAGCAAGGCGGCAGGCGGTCGCCTGTTTGGAGGCCTGCGAGATTTTTGGTGCTATAAATAGCCCGATTTTTGCTGAACTCAAATACACCATTCTTAGCCCGAAACTAGTTCAAAAAGGTCTTCTTCTTCCTCTTCAAAGCTCGGATTTCCACCATTGTTGCACCTTCAACTTCAATCTTTCATATCTTTTTCATTTTAGCTCCAATTTGTAAGTTCTTTATACTTCCTCCGTTCCATAAAAGTTGCAACATTGGAATTTCTGCACTATTCACACATCTTACTTTGACTACGATTTTCTAATAATATATATAATAAAAATATTATGTATAAAATATTAATAAATTTGTATTAATGTAAATTTCCAATATATTAACTTTTTTTAATGTTTACTAATACGTAAATTAATATAATTACAGTC